AATGAGTATAGTTGATTAAAATGCCAAAAAATGTTTGCATAATCCCAAATCCCACTATGAATGAGAATCGCGAATGGCAGTCGTAGCACTTTAGCGTCCCGTTCCGTCAGTTGGGCTGGTGGGACCAGTTCAGAGGAACTTGGAGGACCATTTGAGGAAGCAAAATGAAGAGAAATTTAATGACGTTCCATGAGAAAATTTAATTTTCAGTCCTACCTACTCATTATGAATTTCAGTGACCAAATTGAAGATGGTAAGACCAAGATGGTATGGTCGCAGTCTCCTTTCGATTTAGACAAGTGGATTGGTCTTATTGTCAAGGCCTCAGCACCCATCGCCAAAACTGGCCATCTCCAAATCCGCTGAAACTTAAAGAGAACGACTATGCTTTGTATGTCTTGACGGCTACACAGTTGCGTAAAATAATTGTGATTTAACATGGATTAATGCCAATAACCCACTTGCAAAACATTTTCTGCTGACTTGGTTTGTCGCTTTTCACGTCTTTTAATTATGTTCTGCAGAACTTCGTGCGCCGACTCGTCGACGAGACACTCGATCGGAACGTGACCTTTTGTGAACAGCCAAAGCCGATCGTCACGAGTCTGGAGGAGATCTGCTCGAGGGCCTGGCCGCAGGTGGAGCGAAGACGGCATCGGACACGAATCCGCGCCTATCTGAAGGCGTGCAGGAGAAACTCGCGTAAGAATCAAGGCCGCATAAACATGAAAGAACCGCCGGTGAATGGACTCTCCTCAGAGGCCAGGCGCGTTGCCAATGCCGCGTTTGCGTCGGTAGAAGACATGGTGGAAGAACTCAGAGAGGTGTGTGCAAGACACGGAAACCGATAACATGCAGGCAACATGTAGACAAGACTTAGCGTTGATTTTGCATGAAGAGGCGGATGGAAGGTGCTTGCAATTTGGCCTCGTCGTCGAGGCCATCTTACGCATCCTCTCCACGCATCTACTCTATAACCAGAATGCTGAAGGATTCTTTGAAATCCCGTTTTTTACATAACTTGTAGGCAAATTTTACGGATAAATGAGCGAAAAGGGATCATCTCCATGCAGAAATCAGACTTAAAGGACAGTTGCTTTGCCTCCGGTAGCTCATTTTCAGATGCCAGTTCGTCTTCTACCGAATAAAGCCAGCATTCCTTGAGGAGTCAAATTATGCCCAATGGGATTATTGTAGAGACTCATCTCATCTTCATTATCACTCGCCTCCACATCTTCGTCATTACTTCCATGTCTTTCAATATTCCTCTCTCACATTGCTTCACCTACTTCTCCCGCTCTCCCTGCCAGCTCCTCGTCTTCGTGTCCAAATTGGGTTTCCTTGCTCTAGTTGTTGAGCCTACTTCCATTTCGAGTGAAAGTGTGCGGTGAAGGGACTCGAAGTTCGATCCGACCAGAAGACGACGGCGGATTCCCTCACCAGCCGTCGACTGTCTTTACTGGAACATTCATCCTGACTCTGTTTCCAAGGCAATCTCCTTCGATTCCGGTCAAAAGGTGCTAAGCTTCAGTGCGTCATGTGACAAGGTATCATCGTCACGACCAAAATCGAGCTAACGAGTCAAGAAAACTCTCAGATAAACGTGCTGTCTTGGATTAGGGAATGACAGCTCTAGCTTGCTTAAGTGGTATCCAATGAAGAATGACTGATAGCAGAATTTTTCCACCATGAGGGATAGTTGATGAGCAGATTTGTATGCTATCATTATAATCAAATGAGTCAGTTTTATTCAGATAGATTAGGTTTTTGAGACGTTCAGTATTTTTTTGTGAATAGGAGTTTCTTCCTTCCTGTGCTGCCCTGGTCCGAGTCTCGCTGGCGGCGCAGATGAGACTAGTTCAGGCGAATTCGAGCTGCACTCCAGTCTGGATGAGCATACCGTTTTGAGAGGAATGATTGTGTGATACAGTCGCAAGACTTACATTTCGTATGAAAGTGCATGAGGAGGAGATTCTTAGCTCCATCTGATCGGTAGATGACAGACGATTTGCGTTGTATCGCGGCCGTTTGGCCGGGAAGTTTGCTCAATTTGGCGTTTGTTGAAATGTTCCTTATTGGATGGGCAAAAGTTCAGCTCGTTTTCACGCGAAACGAGCGAGGACGTCTCGTGGACTGTGTCAATTCGAAGGTCACGTTAAAGCCAAACGGCTGCAGTACAACGCAACTCACGAATCCTATCTTCATGCCCTTTCATACGAAATGAAAAACCCTCAACAATGTCATCTCAGGAGAATCCTCAAAGCCCAGTTACTCTTTGTATCCACAACAGATTTACTGACAGTCGCGAAGGCTTACTTTATCTGAATTCGGATTATAGAATCTCACAAAAATGTACATCTGAAATCCTCTTCTCTTTGCTTTCTTTGTCTCTTCCAATGTAGTGTTGTTCTGTGTTGACTGTAAAGCCTATTCATGCATTCGACACAGATCACGGACCCCAGCAGTGTCGGTTCAAGCGCCATGACAACTGGTGCTGCTTCGTCGGGCTGCCGTGCCCTCGAGCCGCACCCACATGCCACCGGACCGGGCTTTTCCGTCTCGCCTCCGTCGTCCCTTGGCCCAGCCCTCTTCCCGTGCCATGTCACGTTGCCAGGCCTCCTGACGCCAACGTCGGTAGTTGCTCCGCCCTGGCCTCGACAACCGCAGACAGGACTACGCCCTGACAACTACGCCAACCCGCTGGGCCTAGAGGACGGGGCGCCAGCAGGCCGCGGGTTGGTGACGGAAAGGTTGAACTTGCTGTCGGGCCTGCCGGGGTGGAGGCCTGTTCCAGTGGGCCAGACAAGCGCTGTCATGGCGACCAGGTCGTCTGGTCACGCGAGGTCGAACCGCTTTGGGTGTGTCTCAGGCGGGGTGGTCCGTTTCGAGCCGAGGGTCGGTTCGGCGAGCCTTCAAGACGGATTCGGACTTTCGCCCAGAACGACCCCATTCAATTTGTCCTATCACGGCGTGACGCATGAAGTGGACATGCTGACACTGAGCGACTCGTTCGTCAACTCCCTCCCGGAGCCGAAGCCGCATCCGGGCGCCGGGTTCGGGATTCTGCCGGAGCCAGTCTTTTTGAATGGAACTCACCGACTGTCTGAGACCAAAAGTATGCGTCCAGTGTCTACTAGCACCACGACTGTTTGTTGTTCTGATGGGACCGAGGCAGGGGGGCCGGCGTCAGTTCTTCTATCGCAGACCAGGGCCCAGACTGCATCAGACCTCCTCGACCGAAAGGGTCCGCGCCCCATTTCCGGCTCCTTTTCCCAGTCTCATCCCTACCAACCATTCTATGATCCTCTGCCAGGTCCCTTCAATTCTGAAGTCGGCGGATCTTCTGCCTGCGCTGCCGCTTCAGAACAGACCGATCTCTTTCAATGTCGTCTTTCACTATCGGCCCAGGTCGTGCCGTCCTCGCGTAGGCCACAGCCGCTACGAGAGGAAGTACCGTTGCCGAGGTTCAAATCCGGCTGGCGGAAGGAGATAGGTTGTCGGGGCGACAAGCAGGACGATGAAGAAGAACGTCTGATTGCTCATCTG